AAAAAAAAAAAAAAAAAAGGAAAAAACCAGATGGTCTCAGACCTTGCAGATCCAGAAGACCTTGCAGATCCAGATCAGCCAGGAGGGCTGGAATCAGGTATGTTTAAAATTCTTCAGATATGTCTTAACATCTTCAAAATGTTGCAACTGTGAAGAAAGAGAAGCATTGACTTTTTAAACTGATTTTCCTGTAATACATAACACTGTAAATAAATTTTACTATCAGACTGTCTCCACTTCTCCTTCGGGCATAAAATTGGGCTGGTAACTGGTTACTTGAGACTGCTTTTGTTCTCCAGATTTTTCAGAAGAATTTTACGGTATTCACATCAGATTGAAAAACAATCTCCATAACTTAATACAACATCTCCACTATTGGTATTGGTGTAAAGCTCCCATGCAGTTTTTTTGCCCCTCTACTTATAAAATGATGGGCTTTTGAACAAAGGTAATATTGAAGCAGAGAACTCATTTGTTCAAAGCTTGTACTTGCCCATCAAGTCCTCATTTGATTATCAGATTGTTTTCAGATGGAAGCTGATGGTAGACAAGAGGGGAGAGACAACAGAGAAATCAAAATCTCAAGAATCTCAGGATTTTAAAAATAAAATTTCCTTCTGATTGAAAATACACAATAGCTCTCAGCTGTTGCTAGAAACATGTTTATTTTCCAGTGCACTACTCTATTAGACACAGTTCTACTGCCTGCAGAAGCAGCACCTGTCCCTGTGTGCTCCAGCTAACCTCAGCACACCTTACCAATAGCAGGGTGGGCTGTCCCCAGGCCAGGGTAAACACAGCTCCTCTGCCCACTTCCAGCCAAAAAGGACACCCTTTTTTCTGGCTTTACACAGCCTTGAAATGAGGTAGCTGTAAGCCCTTGGGTGGGCCACTGCACTGTCACAGAGCGTGCAGGTAAACAAGCATTTGGCCCAGCACCATCCTCTGAAAGAGATGCAGCATTAATAGCAGAGGTTATAGTCAGTGTAATATTAAACCCTATTTAGAGCTTAAAATGCATAAAGTTCCTTAGCCGGAACTTTTCTATTTCCCATTTTTTTCTCTGGGTATTGGTGCATAGTTTTTGCACCTCAGCACCTACATCTTTGTTGTTCTGGCTCAGAAGTGTCAAGGAAACTGAACAGGTTGAAAATTGAGCTATATATATTTGCACTGAAAGGAAGAAAATAAAAGAAAATAGCTGGATTAATAGCACTTTAAAAAGCATGAAGAGGGAAGGGCAAAGGAAACCTGCCAAGGTCAGCTACCTACCTTCCAAAAGGTAATTTTAGGATAACCCAATTATATATCTGTTGCAGAAACCAAATGGACTTCAGACCTTCAGGAAGTTTGAGGTCAAACATATTTAATTGACCCAGTAGTGCAGGAAGCAGTATGAAATGGGCTGTCCAAAATCAGAAAATGTTATTTCTGGCCCAGATGTGCTCCCCAAACACTTCTACTGCCTACAGATGGAAAGACCATTAGTAAACTCCAAGGTTTTCACCTTAGGCAGTTCACAAGTTATCAAGCTGGAGCACACTGAGCCTCTCAAATGCTAAAGTGTCTCATACGAAGGGATAGATGAGTGCAGGGGTAGAAGGTATTTAAGCAGTGTGACATCCCTTTCTGCTCTCCCATACCTATCACTAAAACATCCTTTTGGGATTCAGACTTTTCCAATAAAACAGTTAAAACCAAGTATAAGTGCATACAACACTATGGAAATTTTTACTAAGTAAGGAAACCTGATTTTTCCTTTATCCATGCTCTCTGAAGTGCTCAATAGTCACCTTCCAAGCTTTATAGTTATAGGTTATCCAGAGATGGAACAATAAGACACAGAAATGCACTCTAAGTTATCTAGCAAA